GATAAAGGGCAGGTGGTCTAGGTAAAGGGCAGGTGGTCTAGGTAAAGGGCAGGTGGTCTAGATAAAGGGCAGGTGGTCTAGATAAAGGGCAGGTGGTCAGCTCACGGTGTCTCTCTGCTTTCAGCTCACGGTGTCTCTCTGCTTTCAGCTCACGGTGTCTCTCTGCTATCAGCTCGCGGTGTCTCTCTGCTCTCAGCTCGTGGTGTCTCTCTGCTCTCAGCTCACGGTGTCTCTCTGCTTTCAGCTCGTGGTGTCTCTCTGCTTTCAGCTCATGGTGTCTCTCTGCTTTCAGCTCATGGTGTCTCTCTGAAGTTGTTCTGCTTGTCTTCTGATAGACTTTCCCTCAAACACATTCACACTTCAAACTAGATGTATTCTGTATGTAATAACAAGCACAGATCAGTTTGGTTTAGAAATAATCCTTTATGCACTTCACAGTCCAACCGTTTCTACACAAAGCCTCAGAGGTCAGGATTATCAGATGCAACACAAATAAAGAAGGAAGCAGCTTTAAGATGAACACATGCACCGAGAAAAGAGAATCATCTTTGGGTCGAATCTTTCAGTCACTTTGTCGTTATCAGTGCATCGACCTCTTGCTTCTCCTTCTTTGGTGTAACGTCAGAGGTCCAACTCGGTGTCGTGTAGCCATGCCCGCATCTCTGGTCCTGAGTCGAAGAGGCTGGCTTCCGAGGGTGGTCTATATAAAGGGCAGGTGGTCTAGGTAAAGGGCAGGTGGTCTAGATAAAGGGCAGGTGGTCTAGATAAAGGGCAGGTGGTCTAGATAAAGGGCAGGTGGTCTAGATAAAGGGCAGGTGGTCTAGGTAAAGGGCAGGTGGTCTAGATAAAGGGCAGGTGGTCTAGATAGAGGGCAGATGGTGATTATGTGTTGGGCAGTCTGTTCAGGGTCACCGTACTCGCATGCAGCAATGTCTGCCAGGCCCCACTTCTTCATCGATGTTTTGAAGCGACCCCAGTTCGTAGACGGGTTAGTGTGGTCCATTGCCGGCGTGGTAGGTCGTCTCCTGCTATGGCGCCATCTGCTGGGTCCCAGATGTAGCGATGGATGCGGGACCTCTTGCTAATGTTTCGAATGCAAATAATATGAAACCACATGTAGAAACTTGACTCCACTGGTTTCAGCTTGGCCCTGCAGGGACATTGTGACGTCCAGAAGTTCAGATGAGTCGAGGTCTGAGTAAAGAGGAAATGAATTGTTCTCCTGCAGATTCTGAGGAAACCCCCACAGCAGGTGGAAGAAGATTTCATTCATTTACATTTTGTTTATTTTAATTTTCAAATGAAGCAAATCCCTTATGAAATCAAATGTACTAGATGTATGTGACGCAAAATTATGAACTGCAGTATTTAAATTGTATTTTATTCAATTATATTTAATGTAATTTAGCTTGAATTACATTTAAATAGATATTTCTTTGTAGACAAGGCACTTTCAGCACATTAAACAAAGTACAGAACCGTTTTTAAAGAAAATACCCATCTCCTACCCCCAACCATTTTATTTTATTCTAATTTATTTATTTCATTCTAAAACAACAGTGCATTGTTCTCCTGCAGATTCTGGCGAAGCGTCCAAAGCAGGCGGGGTGTGTGTGGGGGGGGGGCTGGTGTCCCCTCTTTGCATCCCATAATGAGCGAGGTCAGCCCGTGCGTCACAGTTTCTGCTCGGTGGGTCAGCAGGAACGCAGAGCGAGGACGAGGGGGGGGACGAAGGGGGGGACGTCACTCCTGCACTGTGACGGTTCAAAACGTCCAAAACAAACTCAAGATTTTTCCGATCTGAGCAAAATGTAAAGTCCGTCTCTCAGGAAACCCACGAGCCTGTCCCTCCTCCGGCGGGGCGCTGAACAGACACTTCTGCTTTCTGTGTTGGAGCATTTTGAAAGAGCTCTTGTTGTTGAAGTGTGCTGTTAACGTAAAGCTGTGTTTGTTCACTAAAACTACTCAACATATTGACATAGACTATTTTTGAATTTGATTATACATGTTGCGTTGAGGAGGGGCTCAGCTCAGAAGCATTTCATTGCCATGTCTAAACTGTAGCTGCTGAGAATATCTGTTTGCGTTGCCCTGTTTACAGACTGCAGAGTTCACCGCTTTGTTTTGATCTCTCTCTAAAAAGGTTAGAAAAGCGTCAAAATAACTCTAATTTCAAAGGAAGACTAGGAGTCGAGGAATGGGAGGATCTGGTGACAGATATTTCCAAACATCTGGAACAAACTCCCAGAAACCTGCTGCGACTCGGACTCCTTTTAAATCCAGGCTGAAGACTTTGCTTTTAACTGAACTATTCACATCTCACGCTGCACCGTAACTTTTATTCATGTATTCACGATTTAATGGTTTTATGCTCTTAATGTCTTCCTATTATGTATGTATTTCAACAAGGACCATGCATACACATACATTCATCTCAGAGAAGAGATGAATTATGCATTTCTCTTTTCTTTTCTAAAGCCCTTTGAATGCCTCGTGTTGAAAGGTGCTCTATTAATAAAGTGGCCTTGTGTGTCAGAGGGTCTGAAACAGCGGTCCGGTGACAGTTTGAAGCACCTGTGAGGTCTTTTTCACATCCTGTTTTCTGCGTTGGTGTTTCCCCCCCAGCGTCTCCCTCTTCCTCTTTGCCTCGCCTCAGTGTTTCAGGATGAGAGGGAGCGTGGTGTCGCTGCGAGCCGCGGGCTTTCCCTCTCAGAGAAACGATCCTCTCCACTCTCACTTCCTGCCTCAGACGTCTCTCAGGGTCTGGTAGCTTCTCCTCTTCTGAGATCTCAGCAGAGGCGTCTGGGTGTCCACGTCCCGACAGAAGACGCTCGTCCCCCCGCGGCGCAGACGAGCTCGAGTCCAGCCGTACAGAAGACAGTTGAGGAAACCCTGAGAGGGCGAGCTGAAGGCCTGAGGACGGAGGACACATTTCACACAGAGAGACACAAGAAGTCCACAAAGAAATGCCTAATATGAGTCTAGATGCCAGAACTTTGAACACATGTTGAGGACCCCAAAGTTATATGATAGAAATGTAGAGTAGGGTCTCCAGCTTGCCGGATGCTAAGCTGCAGATGTTGGGACATTTACACAGTTAGCTTCATTATCACATGCTAAAAGAAATGGCTTGGCTGATTTGGACAATTTTGGAGGTCATTGAGGACGGAATCCATTTCTGACACAATATGACCCCCGACTGACCTCAGAGATGTAGAGGACGACCCCGACGACCCTCTGACTGGCTGCAGGACTCACCATCCGGACACACACCAGACACACCGCTGAGGACACACACACACACACACACACACACACACACACACACACACACACAATATGCAAATTAGGCAATGACGTAATTTAGCATCTTTTACGAGAAGCCAATAGCTGCTTTCCTTGCTAAGGCGTTGGCAACTCTGCTTCAAATCTAATCAATATAAGGATTTAAAGATCAACATTAGTATCAGCGGGTAAACAACAGTAAAATACACACACACACACACACACACACACACACACACACACACACACACACACACACACACACACACACACACA